AGAGGTCCGAATTAGACAATCGCTCAATGTAAGTAGTTTAATTGGAAAACGCAGAGGAAGACAGAATTGCTTGTTGGTTAAGGACTGATAATAGCAGGATGAGCAAGCAATTATATAGAGTTAGCAATTGCCATGACGATGACAGACTTCTGTCCGGTCATTGATCTTTCCGAATTATCCTTTGACTTCCTACTGCAATCCTCAATATCAACCTTGAAAATGACTCCATCAGGTAATAGATTCGACCGGCAATACGCCAGGCCGTGACACTAATCGATAGTTCCCGAACCCCAAAGGAATCAACATATGGGATAATGGAAAGGAGACATGGGGGATTGCAAGATGTCGATAGTAGGATTAGTCTCAAATGGCCAAGGGATCATCTGTCTTTGTTGAATGTTAATTTGATGTATTTCCAGCCTAGCTCGAGTCTAGCTAGGAGTCTAGCTAGTGGTCTAGCTAGCCTCGGGAAGAGTGTTAACCGGATGTTCAAAATTCCGGAATGATTTGAACCATACTGTATTCGTACCTATTCAGTCACCAATATTAAAGTTACCTTGGAAAAATGATATTGATGACATTGGTGAAAACGGTGATATTGGCGATGTTGGTGACATTGGTGATGACGATAATATTGGTGGTATTTGCGATATATTTGAGATTTGAGAAAGATATCTCAAATGATTTGCTACATCGTTGAATGATCAAAAACCTGAACAAAGTGACAGCTGCAAGAGGTTCAATACGGATAAGCGTAAGAGGAGGTAAGGGTTCTGACACTACACCCATATCCAGCTCGCCTAGGTAGTTTACTATACCGGTACTCGAGTATTGATCAGATGGTTAGCACAACAAATATGGAGAGCTTGGCTTGCACCTTGCATCACTCCCAAGCTTTGAGCTCCAAGGCAGGCAAGCTGGAGGAAAGCCCCTTCTCGTTTTTGGACTTGGTGTCATAAAGCCAAGTGGCTTTAGATCACATTGTCTCTGTGGTACACATGCTCGACATGTCGATCTTCAATGATCAGGCTTCGTTGGCAACGGCTGGATGAGTATGTTGGAGCGGCTTCAGTAGTTCCCGAAGTACATTACATGGGATTTTACGTGTTCCTGTCCCTGTTCCTGTTGCTGTTCCTGGTCCTAATCATTGGAGGTAGATGAACTAGGTAGTGGCGATACCTTAGGTAGTTGAATTAACGAATGAGAACTTTTCCCGTGATTAAGCTCAAGTGACCTGGTGGACGATCATTCCAAATGTTGGCATGTTGGCACCTGCAAGTACGATGGGTGCTACCTACCGGTATATACCCATATACCGACTGGTACATGATAGATGATGCTATCATCGAAATTAACTTGCGCCTTCTTTCATCGCAATTGTTAATCAGTAATTAGTACCTAGGTAATCATTGATTATTACTCTCGTATCCTCTCCCATGTACCAGAAAGCAGATATAACCTTAATAAATCAGTTTAAAAGTACTGACCTATTGATTGTTCGATGTTGATTTAGATGTAGATAGAATATAGATAGAACATTGCAAAGTACATGTCTGTCAAGACTACAAACAATTTCCTTTGATTGTATGTAACCTTTCCACCTTCCTATCTTGGTCAAACTATCGTACCGTACTGTACGTAGTCTCCATCGGAAAGAACCCCATCCGATCTTTGGGGCGAAACTAACCGTGTAGTCACGTGCTACTAACCCACATCTGCACCTCCTGCCCCTTTCACAAGAGATGTCATCACTCGCCGATAATTGTATGTAATAAAGTAGACAGCTAATCCATATCATGTACTCATCACTCATCATATCCTCGCATGTTACTTACTTTCTTTCAACTTATTTAGTAACCGCCGCTTTCGGTCCGCTCTCAACTTTGTTTTCACGCCAGCCAGCTTTTCAGATTTTCAGTGAGCGTGGGTAGATGTCACATCCACCCTTCTAATATCGATTAGGTCATTATTCGAAAGCCCTTGCTTCTCCAATATTAGTGTCATAATTATTTGTTGCATGTCTACAGCATATGCAGCTAATTCCTTCGCGGCTGTGGCACATGAGACATGGAGATTGTGCCAACTTGAGGGCGGCAATTGACAATGGAATCCAGCGAAATCAGACCTCTTCTCCTTTTCGCGATTTGAGCTTTCCAACCTTGGCAACTTTAAAAAATATGCGGAGGGGAATATGACGATTTTGCTTCTTTACTTGACCTTGTTTCATTGTTATCTTTTGTATACTGAAATGATGATTTATCACCCGGAGTTCTCGTATGCAACCAATCGCGATTAATGAATATTTTTCGAGATACTGCTTAAATCATACCTGTGCCACACCCATCTTTGCCTGATAGTTTGCTTCATTTCAACCGATATATATTGGTCGATTTAGAATTGCAGTATTGTTTAACTTTCAACCCCAAATCACTCAACCGATCTTTCCTTTTTATATGTTTCCAAAATCAGATGAGGACTCCGAGTCCAAAGATTGGCATGAGAGAGGAATGTGAGACGATGAAAGACCCCATATAGTGTCAGAACCCTGTTGTCAATCTCGGATAGAGGATATATTTATGTGGAGTTCTTTGCACTTCCTCTCAGTGGTGGAATCTATTGACGAAGGACTGTACTTAAAAGGAGTTTTGCCCGATTTTCATCCCTTTATACCGCTCAAGCCTCTTCAGTGCTTCCAATGGGATGAAAAAGGCCCCATTACTCTTTGCTCATTTCACTTTTCTCTGGGCCCTAAATGGAACCCCTAGCTTCGAACCGCCGTCTATTTCTCCCAGGGTGATTATCTACTTTGACCTTCGCCTTTTCACTATGCCGTGTGTGATCTCATTCCAGCTACCCACATTGCTTCTCTACTTCACTTTTATCATTGAGCTTTTAGATTCAATCGATCTTCTGCATTGCACAAGTAGCGATTTGACTACAAGACAGAGTGGTGCTAAAGGGTACCGAAGAGTACCTGTGCGTTCATATGCGTTCCTTGAGCGATGCTCAGAGCGGTTGTTTCGGAGCTTCACGCTTGGAAAGGTGCTTTCCTTTTCTTCGGTATACTGAATATGGGTGACTCGATTTATTTAGCCGTACTTTATGTCCTTGATGGAGAAGTTGAAGTGGCTTCAGGGTTGTCTTTATCAGACAATCTCGACGATTTGCCTGTAGTAGTGGCAAAAACTGGTGTCTGATGTTCCGATACATCTTGCAGTCTATTCCTGCAATCTCGAACCTTTTATTTATCAATCCACAAATCACCTCTTTCGTTGTTTTCCGATTCATCGATTGTCGAGTTAATGGTATTTATTCTTACAGCATGTTCTTCACCTGCCAGACTTCCTTTACTTGAACATTGCGAGGTGAAAGCAGACCTCTTTAATTGTAACCGACTGTTGATTTGCAGTGATATATAGGGTGATGCAGCCATGGAATTTTGGGCGAGTTATTCACTTGTCAAGAGAGTACTGAAATCTAGGAAGAATTTTGACCTCCTATTAAATCTACCAAAATGTCAGAATGGTAAATGAGAAGCGAAGCAAATACCCAGAGCTAATTTGTTAAACAATTCAAACAGAAGGTGATTCCAAAGTCAGTAACGAGCATGTCTCATCGGTAGCGAATAACGAAGTGATTTGAAATGAGCCACAGTGAATAGCTGGGCTCGGAGAAAGTGTGTCTCAAACATGCTCTTGCAATATTTGAAATCAACATGTACGCTCGCCAAAGAATGATATTCCGATGTCATGGCTGGTTGCGGAGAAATAAGTTACAGTTACAGGCATTGTAGACCTCACTGCTGCAAAGTATGGTATCAATGTGTTACTGTAGGAAATTATCCCAAAATTAATCTCTCTTTTTTGGGGGTAACCTCACAAAGAATTTACTTGCCTCCTTGCAAGCTCACTTGAGCCTTGCAACTCAGCCATGGACAGATGTATTCACCATATGTTCAATTTGGAAATGATAAAGTGATTTCAAGATTAGAGGCCTTCAAGTTTTCACTACCGACCAGGGCCGATCTGCCCTAGTAGAATCTTTTGCACATTGCTTGTGGAAGTCATTTCACCCGAGGCCTTTTAATACAGAACCAAACAGTTACGTCAGACAAAAGGGAGTGCGATACACTAAATACTTGAACATACTCTAGACATTGAACCACTGTTGTCTAATCCACATCTTGCTACTTATATGCAGTGTTCAAATAGCACATCAACAAAGGAACGTTTCTAGGGACGGGGATTTGCCCATATTCCATGACAACCAGTCGAGCTGCAGCCTTCACGTCTCAACGGAAACCCGAGGAGAATACTGCAAAACATACCTCGAAGTTAATGTGCGTGTTACTAATAAAGCTCCACAGTAATATCTACCTACCTGTATTGATCGAGAACCTTCATCCACCCAGTCTTCTTTAGGGGTAACGCAGTAGAAGTAAATGCCTTTAATTTTAGTTTCGGTATAATGGCAACAGATAGATAAAGTGCCGTGCTACATGTCTTCCTTAAATATTTTAACTCCGTTGACCTGCTGCACCATTTGCTGCGCCTAGTTTCCTCACCCGGCAGTAGTATTCCCTAGATAGTAGCATTAAGAAAAACATTACACCCACGCCATGCTACTAAGTCTGTAACGTGCCCCTCGACCTCTCCCTTTCTCGCTCGAGGCAGGCGCAGGAGGTATCAGGGTTGGCATTTTCAAAACTTTGTAGGTTGTCGAAGATGCGTGCCATCCGCGAGTGCCCCGAAATCTCGCCACGATTGCGACGTATACCTCTAAGTTATACCTCTAAGCTGCTGTGTACGAAGCTTGGCAAGTGCAAAATTATTGTCCGTTCGTCGATGCGTGTATTAATATTAATACCTGGTATAATTAAGCCTCACGACAAATTTGTGGTGGTGACTGGTAATCGTTGGTTTGTAAATTGAATCTTATGCGTCCTGGTCACAGCAATGTGATTATGAGGAATCTTTTCTAACATGCGTAATGCAGGACGATCATAGGAAGCCTGATTCAGCCAACACCCTGTCGTTCGTGTAAGTATAGGTCTAATATCGATTTCATGCTCTGGTAAATGATGGCTATCAAGAGTGTAGAACGTACCTGACTATCTTTTCGTCCTCACGCTCTCTTGGTTCGACTGCTAAACTCTTTTCATACATTTCATGTACATCTCCCGCAGCTTGCATATTGGTTAATATATATTCTTGAAGTTCCGGGACTGGCTGCAAGCCGTACGGGACATTCTGATATTGCTGAATGTCGCGAATGACTTCAGCGGTCTTTGCTCGTTTGGCAAAGTTAATCAATGTAGTTTTCTTGATGATTGAAGGTATACCATCCTCGATAAACGTAAGATCGGTAAGGTACACACCTAGAGATGTTAGCTCGCCATAGTACATCGGATGAGCAATCAGAACTTACCGAAAAAGGGGATACATGGGGGATTGGCAAGATGCAAACTCTCTCTGTACTCTCCGAAATTCTTTGTGCTGCCCATAAGGCGACGCATGGATTCCAGCACTGCCAAAGTTTTGGCTGGCACTTGATCCCAGGTTCTTTTTAGGCGATGGATTGGTGCTGTACCGAGCGCAGAGATTATAGAAGTGAGAGTTGAGTAATTGTTTAAGGCACGACATTTCTAGAGTAAGTTAGGAAAAGTTGAGGCAGTCAGAAGAAAAATTGCTTACATCGGCAACAAGAACGAAATGTTTGATGACGACAACGCGCTTTTTGACATCGAGTTGCGTGAGAATCATTTCAGCGACCCAATTCGTCAATTGATTAGAATGCAGGATCAGAGCCTTAACATTTGGTGCAGGCTCAGGGTCGTTTTCGCCAACTTTCTTCTGCCAAGTTTTATTTAAGCATTCCGTGGGTTTAATTTTCCCATAAAGCTTTGACTCGACAATGGTAAGTTGACGTGCAAATTCTGTCACATCAATATCCAAGAATTTAAGCTTCTTCATGTTTTTGGGCATGATCGGTTGGGGCGTTGAATGGTTCAAGGTCAAGACTAAACGTTTCGCTGTGGCTTCCTGTCCCCGTAACCGTTGTTCTAAGAGAGTCATCAATGAACCAGAACCCGGCGTCTCAGTAGCTTTCACAGTGTCTCGAGCAAAGGTGTAGACATTGGCTATTAGAGCTTTGGTATCATCACTTTGATCCTCCATCCAGAAAAGCTCAAACCATGATTTCAGAATGTTGACAACTCGAAACCTGATTGGCTTTTGCTTTCGGGATACCCATGTTTCATAGTCTCCTGGAGGCATACCTTCAGGGGGTTGCACCTGAAAGCGCTTCACCAAATGCTCGAATAATTCTCTCGCATTCGTAAAAGATCGATATGTGAGTAAAAAGGTGTTGTTGAAATCCGAGCTCAATTTGTCGTGGCGTGTAAGCTGCTCAACCAATGCTACAAGTGTACCGCCCTTCAATATAGGAGGCTGGACTTTTGTATCGTAGGAAATATCATCTTCGTGGTCAAGCTTCAAGCAGTCTGGTGTCTCGTCTGGGGCATCTCTTCGAGTTGGCTCTTCGCCAAAGAACTTCCTGACTTTAGAGTTCTCCTTTCGGAATGGTGGAAGAACTGTATCACCTTCAGAGTAAGTTTGTGACTTACCAATATCTGCAAGGCTAGGACGGAGTGATGGGTTCCGGGAGTCTGATCGTTGATGGAGTCGCTCGTAGGGCGCGCTATCACCTCTCCTTAGACTTTTCGCCCTTTCTTCGAGAGGCAAAGCCTGCTGCATAGCTGTTTGAACAAGCTCACCAAGAAGCTGCAGTGAGAAGCCAATATGAGATGAGTTTGTTTCCAAAGATCTTGAACACGTGCGCACGTAAATCAGCCGCCCTTCCAATGACTCCCCACGGACTTCCGCCCACTCATCACCTAAAGGCCCAGCCACAGCCTGACATCCTAGCAATAAATCTGATATGTTATCATATAAACTTTGCTTCTGTTTGGCGAAGTCAATAAGTTGAGGATTTTGGAATGTATCGCCAAGAGAAGACAAGTTGATAGACTCAACCGTAGACACCCAAGGCTTGAACATCTCAAGAACTTTTTGCGCGGCTGCACAGACATTATTACCAATCAGTTCGTGTCTGTAAGGGGTGATAATTTTGTCGGTGAGTACGAGATGCTCCTCCAATTTTCGAATGCTAGATGTTAGCATTCTCTTCAAATCATCGAGTCTCTCCATCAAATTTGCATCCAAAATCGCAGAAGGTTCAACGACATTCTCATCTTCGTCGAGAAAGTTGGACGTTAGAGGGTCTCTAGATCCAAGCCCGTTATTTTGCCAACTACCACCAATAGTGCTACCAACGACAAAACCAGGGAGCAATCGTGGTATGTCCTCGCCGCGCTGCTGGCGCGCGACCTCAACGTAGCTGAAAACGCCCAGAAGTACGCCATCCGCCTCCTGCAAACATTTTTGATATGACTCCGAATTGGGCCAGTCAGAAGCAGCAATGTGTGACGAGATAACTAATTTCGAGAATTTTGACATCATGTCCCGAAAGTGGGGATACAGGGCTTTGTTAGTAGAAATAATAGAAGGCTGACCAGAATGATTATCAGTAGTACCAGATCCAGCGGCCAGTAATAGTCGGAGGTGATCGGAAATATCTTCAGCTCGGCGAACGTACTCGGAACGATCATGGTTGTTGATTGCTTCGCGATAGCGATCCACAGCTTTCTTCATATTTGCAACGAGTCGATTCCATGTCAGTGGCGCAGCGGATCCATCATCAAAGAATGATCGAGGCAAAGTAGCAGCGTGTGGTGGGCCAAGAGCAGGAGTCGTGAAAGAAGTTGTAGATGGGCCCATTATCGGCATTGCTGTGAGGGATACATTCGGTGTATTGAACGTGTCGGCTCGCGAGCGAGTGCCAGGAGATGTGCCATTGATTGAGTCCATGGAGGTAGCTGGTGACACACCTTCAGATAATTGAGATCTGCGTTTCTTACGTGGCTGAGAGGCGTTAGCAGGTACAATATAGCCATATTGAATAGGCAACATACAAAGGAGGATTTAGATGCGAGCATTATAGACTCTCCATCGAGCTCAGATGCAGAATTTCCTTCCGATTCATCGTCTGTTTCATTAATGTATCCTCGCGCCATCATTTCTGGTGGGGGCCTTGTTTTCTCTGGTATATTGACATTCATCCGATCTCTCGGTCCCATTTCCGTCGACGAAGATGGCGATTCCAACGGTAGCTCCATACTACTCTCGCCAGTCTCCGTATTGAAATAGAACAATCTCCCATCAGGAGTCGCTTGAGGTATCCAGAAATCCGCCCCTGATCTTCCATTGCTGTTCACACCGGTTGCAGGCAAATGTGAGAAGTCGTCACGTTCTGATTCTTCGCCCTCATCATCGTACTGCTCTTCGTATTGTTCTTCGTCGTCTTCGTCGTCGTCGATATCATCATCTATACCCATTCCAGCCCCATTCGCCTTGCCGTCCAGGACATCTTCAGGGCCAGATACAACCTGGCAGTAATTGCTGGGGAACCATCCCCTCACACCATTTATGACTCCATCCCACCAACCACTTTCTAATTGTGTGATCACTTGTATTATATCCCCCTCGTGAAAACTAAGACTTGTTCGGTCGTCGGCCTCGTAGTCGTATAGCGCTCGCACATACATATTTGTCTGCGGAGCGTTTCCCAATAACCCATTCATTAGTGGCGATGGTTTGCGCGTTTTCGCGATTTGGGGTTTCTATATTTTCTTCGAGTTAATATTGAATGTGGCAGTGTATCTGCCGTTATAACAAAGTCGATTCTCCCCTATGCAGTAGAATTGGTCGTATTACTCGAGTGGGAAGTTGCGAAGGTATTTCTTTCTGATTATGTTACCGAGACCACGGTCTGTGTCATTCATTAACATTTTCAACTCATGATTAGTCGTTCCAAGTAGGTGTACGCGCTTTTGAAAGTATAAGATATATATTGGATATGAATGTTGCAGAGGAGGGGTATGGTCAGGTAGTTTGTCGGGTGTTGTCGATCAATTTCGATAATGATTGGAGAGACTTCGGGCGGTTATGGTTATAGTCAGTGGAACATCGATTAGCTGAAAGATAGATAGGATGTAGTTCGATTACCACACCATTCATGTGCCTGTGTGCGTGTATGTGTGTGTATATATATGGAGAGAGAGAATGTGCGATATTTGATATATGGTATGTGTGTGGTATATGGTATTCAGATATATCCAAATGAAGTCGAGAGGAATATTATAAAGGTGGGCTAGAGTAGCAGGGCAGATTTGCCTCGTTATCGCCAAATTTTGCAAATCGCAGTAGTGGTTTTGGCGTTGAAGGGATTGTTTCAACGAGGTACACGTTTAGCACACTGGAGTTAAACTCGGAAAGGTGTAGTGGTATAGGGTAGGGAGTAAATGGTATGTGTATATACAAGGGTCCACCAGTCTTTTGATAGAAAAAAATAATAAATATTTTGATGTTCGAAATCAGCAATTTGGTTGGTACCTTAGGTATCTGGTATGTGGTAGTAGTAGTAGACGCAGTAGTAGTAGTAGTAGTAGTGTAGTGTAGTGTAGTATATGTCTTGCTTTTCGTAAATATAAAAGTGTAGCATGTATTTTTCGTTACTTTTGATGTAAGTGATAGTGTCGATGTGTGAATGAATGAAGATGAGGTACTAGGGAGGTACTAGGTAGGTACTACTCGAGTAGGTCTCTAGGAATACAACGATATGATTTGTCAAGAGAACATATGGGTAAAGAATGAAAGAAATGATAAAACGAAGAATGAAGAATGAAGAATCAAGAATCAAGAATCAAGAATCAGGAATGATAGAATCTTCTCAGAGAAAACGCGTGAAGAGAAAGGTATAGTATACTATAGTTGGTATACCTAGTAGACCCAGGCAGATAGTAGGTACAGGTATAGTCAAGTAGATTGATTGCATTATTGATAATTGGGGAGAAGGGGGGAAGGGGAGCATGTGGATATCGGCTCGGATATCCATTGGCGGAATTGAAACACAGAGGAAGGTAACCGACCTTGGTGGTGGGCAAGTCTTTACTTCATAGATAGCTGCTCCGTAGGTATTGGATAGGTAAATAGAATATAATAATAATTCATGACCAAGTTGATGAGTATCTACCTACGTGATATCAATCTAGTACCCAGGGGCCTACAGAGCAGTCTCTTGGGTTTGTATCTAGGTCGAATGAGATACTACACAGAAACAGATTCATCACATGGTGTTCTTCATTCAACCTTATTAGAGGTCCGGGGAGGTAAAGAAAAGAAGTGTTTCGCACTCTATTGATGTCAACGTTAAATTCTGAGAGGAGCTCAGAGGGAGCTCTAGGCAAGACACAATAATTGCATATATCCTCCTTTGGTCCTCATCTGGAAACGTTTTATGTCCAATATCAAGCGACTGTTTAGAATCTCATGGTGTTTCTATGTACGATGTTCTTCCTACCTACCTACCTACCTACCCAGGTAGACAAACGTCAATAATTGACGAATAACTACCCTGCAGGTTCGACTTTCTCTTTCACTACATCCCGCTGCGGTGCTAGCAGTCCTGGTGCCATGTGGGAAGGAGGGCATTGCCACGAGGCAAGTCATCACGACATGTATCAGTCACTGCGGATCTATGTAATCTGGAATTTCTTCAACAATCACCAAGCACTACCTAGAAGACAAACTCTATTCAAGGCAGCCGCCATCAACTACACTCTACCATATTCGTTCTTGGCCCTTCCGGAAATTACCAAGTAAGACTGTGCAACGAAACTTGCTGCGATACTAGGTACCCTCTTTTGGCACATTTCCTTACCCTAACAATGAAGATTGCCCTCGCATTCCTTAATCTGCGAGGAAAATTTGTCTTTGCTCCTCTCAAGCCCGTTGAGATAAAATAAGGGTTCTATTTGGAAGTCAGGAGGAACCTCGTCCATTACCAGGAATGATTCTCGATTCGATTCTAGTGCATGGGATCCATGACAGTGCAGTAACCACACGTAAGTAAGAACAAATTAGAAATTATGTGCCCAACCAACCCTAGATTCGCTTTCCACCAGATCTTGCGGGTCGGTATCACATCTCGTCACGTGAGATACACTACCCAAACGTTCTCTGCTCTGATGCAAAGCTGGTGGAACACTTGACATATCAGATGAACGGATGAGGGGTTTGACGAAGCCACGGCTAGGTGCGCAGGATTTCATGGCACTTGGCCGTTTCTCCATGCTCCCAACTTTGACAAGAGATTGCGCCTCTCATGTACATAAGGAGAGATTCGGGCCGACCGAGAATTCGCGTTGATGACTGTAAGATTTGGTGGCTGTTGATTCAGCGTTTTTGATATGTCTACTGGTCTTTTATTAACAATATGATCATCGTGAGTTTTTGTCCTTCAAAAACTCATTAGGCGTATACTGAGGGCGATCTTGCTCGGGTGCTTACATTTGCTTGGAACCCCTCCTCCTCCTTTAAATCTATTTCTAAGCATCAACTTCCTCGCCAGTAAGCATTGCAACCCTTTGTGCTTCCCTCCCACACAATCGAATTAATGAGTTACGCATCTATCGTGTGAGATGTAGTCACACCCAAGGACGGCAACAATGCAATTCGTGTTCACTAGTGTCAAAGTGATACTGTTGCGAATATCAAGGTTTCAGCTTTCCAGTTCAGGTGGGGGGGGGGGGGGGGCATCACCGTTTTTGCTTCTAGAATGATTCCAGAAGGAGGGTGGAATAAATGATGGGCGATAGGAATGAGGAGATCAGGACCTTCTGTTTTAGGAGTGGGGTCGAAGTGCGAAAGTACTTGTAGTTTCATCTGGCTAGGGGCATGGAGGGGTTTGCGATAAGGTGAGATTGTAAAGGCATGAAGAGAGTACGAAAGACCATTTACTGGTACCTACGTGATATCTGGTACTTCTGCTAAAGTCTCGAGATCGCAGTTCATGCGAGGATAGTTTGTTCCCGTGCTTGTTCAATTTCTGAAGTTCTGAAATCAGGTCGCGGCGCCCGAAGTACAAGAGTAAGTATTTCATCAAAGTCTGCTTAGTTAAGATCGTGTTGCACAAGTAAATATGCGACCAGGTCTTCTCAAGATGAGACTTTTCGATATTTTTGGAACTTGACAATACTGTAGTACCTATTATAGCCAGCGATTTGTACTTTTGTGTTTAGCTCGAAGTGTTCATCCGAGTACAATTTCGGACATCGGAAACTTGGGTTGACCGAACACCCTTGAAACACACGCTTTGCAATGAGAATAACGAGATGTTTGAATAACCAAGCACGACCACGTTGAAATGCAGATAGGAAAGTAACGAGGTGTAGTACTCGAAGAGGGGTTCCATACCAAGTAACAGTTGTCTAGGTAACAATCTCAGCGGTGAAGTATCTTTCAACTATCTGCGGTATCAGTAGAGTTTGTAGTTGCATAAGTTAGATTGATGAATGTCTTGTTTGTGAATTGTACAATTTGGCCATCTTGCTAATCCCATTTTTGTGATAACGCACCTGGCGGTGTCGTGGGTGCATAGATTCCCATGTCGAAGTCGAGGTTCTGGATTTCTTCCCAACTAATCGGTGAAGGGGGTGCCACGTGAGCCGCCTGCTAGAACTTAACGTGGTAGAATCCCGTAACGAATAGCAGGTCTAGGTTCATACAAATATTGCTGGAAAAGTATGGGTGGCTCCTTGCTATGGATGATCTTATTCATTCTAGATGTTACCGGATGGCCTCCCCCGAATTGGCGGACTGAAAACACGAGGACCCAGAAATCCGTCTCCTGGATTTTTAGTACCCGTTTCTGCCGTGAAGTTGTCTCTCATTTCATCAAGTTTGATTGGATGTCAGTGCCTCGAAATAATCAAGGCGGACGATGAGGGACATGGCAGATTTATACCATCCCTGAATATTCCACTCACGAAATGTGAAAAGAGACATCAGAATTGATTATTTATTGCGTTTCTTTGCATAGGGAATCCACTGTCTCGGAGGGCATTGACCGGTGAAGGATGATTTCGGCATTGGCTCCAGATTAAGTTAAGTAGGCCCGTGAATGTGATTGGGTAGAATGCTGGCATAGTCTGGTAGAAGTCATGGAAGGTTATCAAGACGGCTTCTATGCTTTCGATATGAGGGGCAGAAGGAGCCACACCTAGGCTGGGATCTGGATGTTTCTGCAGGAAGAACTTTTCTAAGTTTTGCTTCAATGAGCTTCTTCACCGTTGGTTTGTAATAACATGGACCAATGCAGCGACTTTGCTGAATCAGTTTTTGTGAACATTATTAATTTTGATAGGCCATTACGAGCCGACCCGACTCGGGTGCTTTGTTGCTGTATGGTGCAATGGTGCCCTCACCACTGATTCATTGACCGGGTTTTGAAATTGTGCATCCAAATCACAAAGGAGACTCGGTGGGTCCGGGGAAGCGTTCCTAGAACTAGGACCAAATTAGAAAGGATTTTAATGCGAGTGGATGCTGATGATGGTTTATTCGCGTACCTGGCATATCGTTTGTCCTCTAATCGAATAACGGGATCATCCATCAGACTAACAATGTCTATATGTTGATCACAAATTGTGATTTAACTTGGATGGACAGTCGAGCATGAAATCATCATTGAATTGATTGGAAATGA